AAGGCTGACTCCACAACCCTCTTGGAGATACTCACAGTAGTGGAACACCGCCGCCTTAAAAAGGATTTGCCTACGACTGACATGATGTGTGACCCTGTGGACCCCCCTTACCACCGTGGGTTGGTTGGTTGTACCGAGGCAGTCGGGTGGTGGTGGTAGATCACATCTATCATAATCAACCGATCGGTCGAATGTAGGGGGATATCACCAACCCTTTGGACTATTGCTGGTATGGCCAATTCTGGAAAAGCATCCGGAGCAATGGGCATGATGTGCAGGGCTTCAATGCAGTTGAACGGAACTCTCAGTGCGTCTGCAATGGTGTGAGACGGCTGGGCGAGCTGTGCGTTAACCAACTGCACCACTGTGTCCATGCCATCCATTTGATAGATGTGCAAGGGTGTGGTGAACTGAGATGCCGGTGGAGTAGTCTGTGACTGTACATCATCAGTGGCCGCATTGGAAGCATGCTGTGTGGTCCTGCTGGGATGGGTGTCTGTTGATGATCCCGCCTGTGAGTTGGATTGCCGCGCTAATTGTGCTGGAGCCGAATGAATGTGCAGTTGGAACCCATCACCATGAGACATGACATGTTGGGGTCGCAAAGTGTAGGGTATCACTTGCCACCCAAACGTCACAGTGCATTCCTGGTAGCTACACAAGGTAGCTGCATCGGCTGCCTGGGCGATGTCGAAGCCACTGACATCCGTTTCAAAGGAGGCTGCAACTGAAAACATGTCAAATGAGGCTGAACTGGACGGGAAGACAGTGATCAAACCTGCGTACCTGTCAAGCTGAATTGATTGTGTGACAACCACATCCATCATGATAAAGCTGTGCCTGGGTGGTCGAGGAGGGTCTGGGTGAATAATTGTAACATCAAACCAATCATCGGGGTTGATTTGATCCACCCAAATGGAGCTAATTTGCGCTTCCCAACCTCGTGGCGGCCCAACTAGCTGGAGGTTCCTAGGGGCAGTCCATCTCCTAATGGCGGCATGATCAATATACCATGTTCGGAGTGGAACTTCGAAATCTCCATCATGAATGTCAAAACCCATCCGTGTAAAACGGTTGGACAAGTCAGCAACAAACGCAGGTGGAAGTGGCGGTTGATGACCCTGCTGGTGGGGTCCCGGGTCTGCTGGTAGCTGATCAGCCGGCAATTGAGCAACCAGGTCGGTGATAGGACTCTCATGTTCCAAACGGCACTGTCGGATGAGCTTGGCTGGTCCTAACTCACGGTGGTGGCCGGATCGGATGCCTGACTGTACAGGACGAAAGTCGGTTGCTATTGCAATGGGCTCTGGGCAAAAAGTTGGACGGTTGCCAGCTTGCAGTGTGCGTTGAAAATGCTGCGGCTGTCCGTACTTGGTGTCAGTGGCTTTCTCATGGGCCACTTCATGTGGGGACGCATGCAAAAGCAAAAGGTCTTGACTCTGAGACTGGGAATCCTGAGTCACAGGGTTGGCAGTTTTGGTGCAAAGACCTAAGATTTGATACACTTCGACTCGTGAGGGACAGTGGCTGTGCCTTGGTGGTGGGACCGGCAAACTCAAATCAACCTCTACGAGTGATGGTGGACAGAAACTACCTGGATCAAACAAATCAACAGAACTGGCATCAACCTGGTCTTCGCAGGGGCCGGTAACAGGACTTGGATCGACAGGTGGCGACTGGGTGAGGCTTTGTACAAAGCACGGATCAACCTTAGTGCAAGGACATCGGGCCTTGCGCAGTGCTCTAATGCTACTGACTTCACCGGGATCAACGGGCTTTGCAAGGCTTTCACCAGAAACTTCATGTGAAACGACTGACCATGGTTTATTCGACATGGTGAGTGATTGGTGGGGCACAGTGATGGCAAAAAAGGTCTGATCTTCGTCAAGGCCTATGAACAATTGAACATTTTCATCAAAAGTGACCCTGTCTGCTTTGGGTTTGAGGTTTGAGCGCCTTGGGACAAACCTAGTCACGCTCATGTCGGGAGGATCCAGTGGTGGATATGAATCGTTGACTTCAACTGCTAAATGAAAAGCAATGTCTTGGGCTGTCCATTCATCAACAAAGTCAATTTCGGTCAAAACTGTGTGTTGCCATTTGATGGTTTTCCAAAAATTGTCCTTCAAATCCAAGGTGTTGGTTGGAATTGGAAAAGTACACCTTTGAGATTGGGACATGTCAACAAACGCATCATAGGCAACAGAATGCTCGAGCAGATCACTGCCTGGGGATGTCCACAAGGTTTTGCTCTCAAGATCAAAATCGCTGTCAGGATGGCTTCGAAACTGAACAGAAAACATTGAGGGCAGGCTGTGAAAACCCTGGTCAAAAGTGAAGGCAAAATTGGCAATGTCTACATGGCCTCGATGGCCTGGTCGGTGTCCCCAGTACGGCTTATGGGGCCTATGAGCAATACATGCTTTGGGTGTATTTACTCGCCCTCGCCAAAACCTGTGTTGGGTGGCATCTCTTTTTCTTTTTCCTTGCTGTTGGGAGATCCCATTCTGGGCCTCTTGCGGTCCTGCTGGTCCACTTCTTGTTGCACCGCTTGGACTGCTTGGGTGTGTAAGGCCCGCAGATTGTTGGCCAGGTCTTGGAAGCTCGCCGCAATCTTCTCTCCAGCAGCTGACTCGTGTGCCTTTGCAGGGATGTCCTCGGTGTCGCTGGTCATGGCAGCGTCCTCTTTGGGGACCACTCCGGCAGCTGACTGGGAGCTGCTGAGGTTCTCCTTTGCAATGGCCAGATTTTCCTGAGCAGCCTGAAGGCGGTCCATGAGCTGTTTCTCCTGGGACATGAACTGCGTATAGGCAGTCCATTGTTGAACCGACTGTGACAGGAAGTTCTTCCAAGCCACATGCATGTTCAGCCTGGCGGCCTGTGCGTCTGCGATCTCCCGTTTTGCTCTGCCGTGTTGTGACACTGCCGCATGGAGCTGTTTGGTTTCCCTGCTGACCAGCACGTATGGAGACATCTTTCATTAAGGCCTGAACATCGTCTGGCAGATTGTCTTGGTGCTTCCTGAGGGCGGCAACCAATGAACGCATCTGCTTGTCCTTGTCTTTGTCCTCTTTGGTCTCCGACATTTGGACTGAGGCAGGGCCTAATGACATGCTGGGAGCGGCTGTCGAGGCTGTCATCCATGGAGGTTCCAAGGATGGCATAGCAGGCAGCGATTGTGGACCATACTGCACTTGGTCGTCTGCGTGCTTCTGCTTGCCTTTTCCTTTGGGCTGTGATCCCTGAGGGCCTTTCTTGGTTCTCTGCCTTGGGGACTGCCGGCGTCTGGGCGATTTGACCCATTGGGCCTGCTCCCAATGAGGTTGTTCTGCCCATTGTTCTTGACTCCATTGCACTCTCCTCGGAGTTGTGGATCGAACTGGAGGGACAAAGTTGTGATCCATTGTCGTCTTCCATGATTGTCCACACTTTGCACAGTGCTCGTGCTTCCCACTGCAAATACGCTTGCAGTGGAAGCATTTCCATGGCGGTGTTGCCTCTGTGTTCATCTCCTCCGTGATCTTTGCAAGGAATGCTGAATCCTTGGAATGATGTCGCTGTAGCTGATGGCGGATTTGTTTCAAGCGCTGACCTGACAAAATCAGTAGACCCCGCTTGTGGAGGTACCAAGCTAGTCTGGCTCGGGCTCGTGCACGTCTGTCGGCTCGCCTTTTGGTCTGCGAAGCCGTGATGGTCTGGATCAAGCCGAAGGTCAAAAATGCCAGTGCAAAACCTGTTGTAGTCCGATATCAGTGTGAAAATGACAATGCACAGAGATAGAACAAGCAAAACTGAGCACATCCACTGCGCAAATATTCCAAGGGTTGTACACAAAATTGATTTCAAGTGATAGGTTCACTTGCAGAAACCTGGCAGTCAACTCGATGAAGAGGTATTTGCAGATAAAAAATCAATGCCAATACACAGGTTCAAGGAGGACAAGCCTTCGGTGTAATAAAGCCCACCGCAGAAGCTGTAAAATCCGGTGTGAAAGCCCACCGCAGAAGCTGTAGGAAAAATTCGGTGTTAGGCCACCGCAGAACCAGAATGCACAATGTACGAGTGGCAATGACCCAGGGTTACGGAGCTGGGACTCCTTTGTACCAAGCACAGAAAAAGATGCACCGACAAAGTCGAGGTCCACCAATCAGATGTCAAGGCAAAATCAATGCACACCCAACCCAAAGTGCAGCCCTAACAAGGTCGAAAATGACCCGTGGGAGTCGGCTATCTCCCACTAAGGCAATGGCACAAACGCGTGAACACTCTTCGGCGTCGTGGGGCGTTTTGAGCACAAAACCTTTTGGGGTACAAGATCCACAGGATTCCCCGTAGAGACTCTTTCAATCTTCGATTTTGGGGGTCCTCAAGTGATCTGAAAACAGCGTTCAGACGCCAGGTCAACTAAGACGCTTCTAGCCCATTTCTCTCTCTGCTCGAACCGATCTGTCACTGGGAGCCTGTTCAGGAGGCGGCGTGGTAGGTGGGATGAGTACGCCCCTGCTAGATCAGCCACACGGTCTGAGCAGCGCGTGTCAGACTTGAGTGCGCATAATTGAAGATCGATGTTCATGAAGAGTTCCTCAAACGGGAAGGCCGTCGATCGTTCCTTTCCTTTCTGGATCTCGGCCTCAATCTTGGACTTCAGCATGATAATGTCTCCCGCCAGTGTCTTGAGAGCAACCCTCTGGTCTCCACCTTTGTCTGCCCATTTCTTCTCCTCATCTCCATCCAGATATCGGTCCATGGCAGCAGTGATCTCAAAGACGATCGATTCCAAGGCATCATTACTGCTTCCTGAGAGACTATTGCAGGCCTTCAGCATTTTCCTCAAAGACTCATCTCCCATGTCTTGTTCTTGGGAAGGATGACATCCCATATATTATGGAAAATAAACATGTTTGAAACCAACAACCAGATATATATATATGTCTATTAAATGTCTATTACATATATCTACTAATAATTTCACCAACCGTATAGTCAAATCCCAATAGGGCCTCGCCGGCTGTGGTTCAAAGCGCCGGACCGCAGCTTCCAGGAACGCTGCCTGATGGCGCCATGGCGCCATAGCGATTGGCACGGCTAATGACTGGCGATTTCAATGGTGGCTGGTTAAGTTACAGTGGCTAAATAGTGGTTAATAGTGGTTAATAGTGGTTAATAACCCATAGCTGGGCACTATGAATAGTGGTTCATAATGGTTAATAGTGGCCAAACATGTGATTTTCCTGATGGTTACAACGGGTTATTTCAATGGGATTATACATGGCATAAATGCGGTGACTTAGTACTTATAACTGATATTTCGGGCCATACATTTGGGGATTTAAGAAGCAGTTCATGATCCAAAGATAGGCAAACGGACCTGGCTAGTGAGATCCAGCAGCTGAAATCTGAAACATTCTGGAACCACAGATTTCAGCCATTGATTGATTTGTATCCATCAGAATGACTTATTCGAATGACTTATCCATTAGAATTGATTGATGTGTATCAATTAGATCTTTTATAATTCATCCTTCCCGGCTTAAAGCCTTAGCTTAACTAGCAAGTTGACCCACAAGATGTTCATTGCATCTCATTGGCTGATTGGCTATATCACCCACTTTAGGTTGGTTGCAACCAACATGAATCTCCACATTGTGGTGTAATCACGCCAAACTTTGAGATTAAACCCACGAAACCAAGAATGCCGCTTATGGGCGCGCTGGCACACTGAAGTTATCTGCCGTAACCACAAGGTAGTCCCTCTTTTATAAGTTGGTTAAAAAATAACAATATCCAGCTGTATTCAGTAGAGTCACAATATTCAGCTATATTCAGACTCTTCAATATAGTTGAATATATGGAATATATTGAATATATTCAGATATTTAGTTAAAAAATAACAATATTCAGCTATATTTAGCTATGTTCAGGATAAACCCTGGAGGTTTCCAAGTCATGGGGGTATCCCCAGTTATCTATTTTGGATTCGGATTTTCCACTATAAACCATCCATTTGGGGGAACCCAAAAATGACGGCTGGAAACCTCAGCTTCAACCAAGGCACCCAATCCATGCTGGGGGCCTGGGCTCGGCGAAAAAACGGTAGGATTCACGGTTTTTTCTAAACCTGGTGGGTTTACCCGGCCTGGTAAACATACAAAAAGCTATTGAAAATGGCCATTTGTAGTGAGTTTTCCCATGAAAAATGGTGATGTTCCATATCAATGGGAATTTCAGGATCCTAAAATGGAGGTACTGTACCATATAAGGCCATATGTTGTTGGGATATTCCCTTACATAAGCCTTATATAGGCCTTATATATGGTAGGTACCTGCAATTTAGGTTCCTGAAATTGCCATTGACCATAGTTTTTTGTTAGTTTACCAGAGGGTATGATTGTTTTACCAACATTAGAGGTTGATAATTTGGAAAACCCATGGATATTAGCTAATAATAGATGGTTTTTCCCAATAATATATCATAATTATGGGTTATCCCATGGATATTAGCTAATTTTTGGGAAAACCCAATATCATGGATAATAGATTATAATCGTGTTATTGGGAAACCTAATACGTATTGATGTGGGAAACCTACAGGATCAAGCCCCCTTTCGATAGTGTTCAGTCGAGATTTTTAAGTGGCGAATTTCTATGGTCTGTGGATGCCGTAGATATAACGAACTAGCTAATGGGATTAAGTGAGATATAACTCCAATAACTACGGTTTATGGTAGATATATCTATACTTACTAATGTGGTTAAAACAATGCCATAAACCATCCCCCAGTCATCACCATAAATAGGTGGGTTTTGAACCATTCCCAAATGAGTAGTTTATTATTGTTTTAACCACATTATGGTTTATAAACCAACATTCACATCACCAGGAACCACCGTCCCGCAAGAGATGGGCAAATAAGTGTTTTTTTTTCTTTTTCGAATACCTTTACTAGATAGGGTAACTGTTTTTTTCAACTACAGGATGTGGGCCCCCCAAATGATAGCTAAGTTGGTGCACATAACTCCAATAACTATGGTTTATGATACTTAAAACATCTTATATAACTATAGTTAATGGGGTTTATAAACCAACTTATGACTGGGGGGCACCATGGTAGTTTTTCATAAGTCCCCATCTGATGGGTTATACGAAGTACTTGTAAGACGGGATGAAGGATGAAGCTTGGACATCCTTCGTCACCAGATGTCAGCAGTACAAGTCGCTACCACTACGACTACCCGATGGAATTGTGGGCTTTCAGGGAACATCTGGTTGATGACTGCTGGGGTTGTGACCAAAATTTGGATTCACCATTTTGATCAGTGATTTTTCATGAGGGGCTTAAACCATCATCCACATATATGGGCATTTGTGCAATCACAACATATCCATATCACAACACGGTTTCTTTGGGGCATGTTCATCCCACCATATTGACTCTTGTTCATGCTCACGGGGATAGCAGCGCTGAGGAATTTAGCGTTTTTTGAAACCTTTCACAAATGATGATGTTGATATTTGTGTTCATGGTACCATTTGCATGGGGTGGGGTCAGGGGTGAGTGGGGTGGGGTGGTCCAATAACGTTCAATCGTCTGCGTTCTTTGATTCTCCATTTTGCAGTTCTCACAGTAATTTCCAGTTCTTGTTTCTACGCAATGAACGAACGAACATGTAAACACGCTCGTGACTATAGCAATTTCCAGCAGGCTCTTGATTCTTGACACAATGCTTGCGTTCTTACACAATGATGGGACTTTATTTAAAAGAAAACAAACAAACACTGGACAGAGCCTGTTCATCTGAGCCAAAGACAAAACATAGAAAAACAATTCATCACTGCCGGGCGAAAAATGGATCGCTGGCAGTGGCATACAAGGTGGTCCCCCCAGTTATGTTTGTTGGTTTATAAACCATAATGTGGTTAAGACAATAATAAACTACCCATTTGGAAATGGTTAATACCACCTATTTACGGTGATTTGGGGGATGGATTACTTGAGGCCGGGGGTGGATGACGAAAGCTAGCGGGGTAGGAGAAAGAAGGAAGGGAAGAGGTGAGTTGCGGAGGGACTGTCATCATCGTGTCGCGGCATTGTTCGTCCCAACGAGGATGCAACAATGATATATTGATATATGATATATAACAATGATATATATGGGGGAGGGGGCAGGGGGGGGCCCTTTCGCGGGAAAAATCACGTGATGTCCTTGGGGAGCCCCGGAATACGTGCTAAAGCAAGAAGACTCTAGCGAGCTGACGCTAGCTTTCGTGATAATGACAATAATTGCCAATAATGATAAAATGTAATTGAATAACGATGATGATGATGATGATGATGATGAATGATGAATGATGAATGATGAATGATGAATGATGAATGATGAATGATGAATGATGAATGATGAATGATGAATGATGATGATGATGATGATGATGACGAGGATGATGATGATGACGAGGACGAGGACGATGGAGAGGACGATGACGATGACGATGATGATGACGATGATGATGACGATGATGATGATGATGATGATGATGATGGTGATGGTGGTGATGGTGGTGATGGTGGTGGTGGTGGGGGGGGGGGGCCCTTTCGCGTGAAAAATCACGTGATGTCCTTGAGCAGCCCCCCCAATACTTGCTAAAGCAAGAAGACTCCAGCTAGCTGACGCTAGCTTTCGTGATTATTGTTTTAACCACATTCGTAAGTATAGATATATCTACCATAAACCATAGTGAAATTGGAGTTATAAACGCACCAACTAAGCGATTTAGCTCACTGGGGCACCACCTTGTAGGGGGTTATATTCAAAAAGGTCATCCCATTGATAAAATGATGGGTAATTAACAGATGATAAATTACCCTCTGGTAAACATACAAAAAACTATTGAAAATTGCCATTTATAGTGGATTTACCCATTAAAAATGGTGATTTTCCATAGTTTTTTGTATGTTTACCAGAGGGTAACACATGGGTAATTGATAAATTACGGTTGGTCAATTGATAGATTTCGCTTGGTGAATGATGGGGGTCATACTGCCCGGTTTCTTGTGGAGTATGACCTAGCCCATTTCGCATGGATACCGAATGACACCGATTTTTGTAGTTCATTGGATGGAAACAGGTGAAAGAAATTGGACTTATCTTAGCTTACAAAGTGGGGCACCCTAGAAACCTAAGTTGGTGCACATAACTTCAATGACTATGGTTTAGGATACTTATAACTATAGTCAATGGCGGTTATAAACCAATTTATAACTGGGGGGCAACATTCTGTAATTTATCTATGTTTTGTTCTGGCTAATGTGGCTAGGAAATCCTTCTGAAGACTCAGAAAGATGCTAGCCAAAGGGGATCCTAACAATCAGCGGTTCACGGCGGTCGACAACCATTTGATGGCACTCCGCATGTCCATCAACCATGAATATGTTAAACGTGTTGTTAAACGTGTTAGGTGTCGGCCATCTAACTTCATCCATAAGGCTGACCAATGTTTATCCCATTACATCACCATTCTTAATGACTCAATGACCATTCATGCAATCAATTGTTGGTTTTACCGCTCTTCTCGATGTTGGATCTGTTGAAACCAAACGATTTTCTTGGTTAAAGCACATTTTTTGCTGGGTCTCCCAACTATTTTCCCCATTTGGGCTTGACATTGCCATAAACTCAGCCAAAGTTCCCCATGTTCAGACAATTCCAGTCACAATACATCACAATTCTACAGGATGGTGCACCGGTATAAGTTGGTTTATACCCCCATCGAAATATAACTGGCTGGTGGTATAACTAACCCTCTGACAAATGATGGAGCTCGTCAGTTGGGATGATGACATTCCCAACCAGATGGAAAGTCATAAAATTCCATGGTTCCAGTCACCACCAACCAGATAATAAGTATCATACACTGTTGTTATTATAGTTATAAACCAACTTAGCTAACGAACTGGGGGTATGATATAAGCTGGTGCCAATAACTCCAATTTCACTATGGTTTATGGTACGCAAATAACGAACTAGTTACTGGGGCTTTTGTTAACCAACTTATAACTGGGGGGGCCCACATTGTACCCATTTTCAGGGTCAGCATTGAAACCCAAATATTCACAGAACTGGCGGCGCAGGCAAGGTGCGCAGAATGGATGGCATGCACGTGACACCTGGCATCGCAGAGAACTACAGTTGGTACGTTCATAGTTTTTCAGGGAATCACTTTAGTTTGGTACTGTATATTCATGGTATTTAACAAACCATAGTTGGAATATAATTGGATATGTATAGGATTAGATTAAGATTGGATCAGATTAATATTAGAATTAGGATTAAGAATTAGATTAGATTAAGATTAAGATTTGAATAAAGATTAATTTATATAAATTAAGATTAGATTAGGCTTAAGAATTAGAACTAGATTGGATTAAATTAGATTAATTAGATACATACATAGATAGATAAGATTACCATCTGGTCATCAAATATGGCTTGCTGGAAAATCCCCTATTCAGAGTTCGATGATGCCCTCTGGTTATTTAACATAGCAATGGAGAATTGCCCATTTATAGATGATTTTCCCATTAATACCTCCATTTATAAGGGAGTTCCATGGCTATGTTAAATAACCAGAGGGTATTTCCCATAAAAAAACACCACAACCGCATGGGAAAGAGCCAAACGCGCTGGATGTCACCAGCAATTTTTTAGGACCGAATCGGGAGATCTTCCATGAAATACGACGGTTGGTTGAGGGGCCGGCATTCCCAGTTGATACATTCCTATTTTTGAAAAGGGGATCACTTTTTTTGTTGTATATAATATTTTGGTACTGTTTTTTTTTTATTAATGGTATTTAACAAAGCACAATTGGAATATAAGAACGGAATGACCCCAGTTTATGATTAGAATCCCGAAGATATACAGGGTATATCAACCAACAGGGCTCCCCCCAGTTATGTCAGTGTTAGAAATTTACTTTTATATAAATCAATAAAATGTATTGCACAAAATTTTGGGCCCCCGTAAGATAGCGTTCAGTTGGTGCACATAGCTACAATAACTATAGGGTTTATGGTTGTTATAACCATAGTTAGAAACCAACTAACATCACTAGGGGGCCAAAAAAAATGCAGGGTATCTAAGATTGGCCATGGCAATGATTGAATGGCTTTCTCTGAAAATGGTGTAGCCTGTATACCCCTAAAATCCCAGTTGTCATGAGTTTGCCCTTTGAAAAGGTTATTTGTTTGGGGGACACACGATTTCAGACACACAAAATATGTGATTTTTGTTAAAGTACAATGTGCGAATATCAATATACATGATTGGATGTGATTGCCTAGAAAATTGGCAATTGTATATATATAATATAACATATATACATATATATAAATATAAATAAATTCTTAGCTGCTTAGATAATCCCATTGATACCTAGAAATCCCATTTCTGATTGAATCCCCACTTCTCCCATGCCTGGGGGATGGCGGGGATGGCACCACCTTGTTGATATAACCCGGTCTGCTTCCCTATTAAATCACGCATAGAATCCATGGAGATCCCCAGTTTTTCTATTATTTACTATCATTTAATATCATGAAACTCCCAAATCCCATGGAAATCCCATGAAGTTCATCTTTAAAAAAATGTCCAGATGTTCAAAAAATCGGATCCACAACAAAAAGGGGATGTTGTGAGGGATCCCATTTGTCCATAAAACCCTCTGGTTATGACTGTTACATAGCTATTGAACATGGTAGAAATAGTTGATTTACCTATGCTAAAAGATGATGATTTTCCAGTTCGCTATGTAAAAATAAACGTTTACCAGAGGGTAAATCCTCCCCGTTTTCATATTCTCAGCACCATCTTTCCGGATCCGGGATGGAACCCATGGCCCATCGACCTCGCATCGTTTCGCCATCCGCACGCGGTCACACAGACCACAGGTCCTCGTTGCGTTGAGGGCTGAGGGCATGTGGCGAAACAAGCCATGTGGGAAAATTTCGTGCCCCAGTGAGGGGAATTGCGTTCAGTTGGGATCTACAGAAAGTCCAATTTCACTATGGTTTATGGTACAATGTGGGGCCCCCCAGTGATGGAACGATGGTTTATAAACCCCATTATATAACTATAGTTATAGGTACCATAAACCATAGTGAAATTGGAGTTATGTGCACCAACTGAACGCTATCGTAAACGGGGGCCTCACTTTGTAGATGGCCATCGAAATTCATGGATTGATCTGGGCCAATTGGGGATGATTTCCACCAAAAAAGCATTTATTGACACTGGATTTATTTATGGCTGGTCTTTCTTCGCAATTTTTGTCCATCACACATTGGGAGTAGAATTGATCCCTTGAGTCCCGGTCCCTTTGTTTCATTGCGACCTTCGGCCAGTAGAATTGACCACTCTACCAATCGGCCAGACTGAGCTCTGGGAATGTCGTTATCCTCTTGGGTCGGACCCAAGCAGCAAACCTCGCACCTGATCTATCTCATGAGATGCCCAGCTGATGTTGCCTGGATTCCCTTCCTGGTCGGAAAATGGCCCATTGATCGATCATTTACATATTCAAAAATTGTGATTTTCCTACTTTAAATTGTAAGAGGGTGACCACAATGGAATTCGAACAGAAACTGGGGGGCCCAGTTTATGCGCGATTTGACCGGCAGGAAGGCCCATCCCCGGCGCTTGGATTTTGCACAAACCCATCTTACGAACTAATTTTAACTGTAAATATTCAACCATAAATCCAATCCTTAAAACAATTGGCAAAGGCCTAGCTACAAATCAACATTATCATTTTGGAGGCAGACCACTGCACCACCTTGTTGGACGTCATCCCCAGTTCCTTAAAAGAACGAGTACGGTTAAGGGGGTCACAGCGATCGTGTTTGGGGTTACAGAAATAACTGAAATAACTGATAACCCATGGATGTGGCCATATACTTCTAGGATCTTCTAGAGTATATCATAGTATATCGGTATAAACTAGTATGTGGTTGGGAAACTCCTGGTAGCTCCTTAGCTCGCTCGCTCCCTCCGTTCACTACTGGATTGCACCACTTGATCACTGAGATGCAGGACATCCCAGGACATCCCAGGACCCAAGAAACACAAGAATACCCTCTGGTAATTTATCATAGCTATGGAAAATCACCATGTTTCATGGGACAACTCACTATAAATGGCCACTTTCCATAGCAAACTGTTAGTTTACCAGAGGGTATCATCTTAAAGAAACTACAACACTCTGATTGTCTTGAACATGCATGGATAATATCCAACCTCTACCGTATTACAGTAGTTACACAACAGCTTCAAGCCGACCGACCGCACCAGTTGGAAATTCCACCCAGGTGATTACACCTGACTTATCACCCTCCTGTTAAAAATCCAAACATGGCGATAGCAAATCCACCATTTATAGATGAGTTTCCTGTTACAGCCGTTTCAAACCTCCATTTATAGGGAACAGCATTAGCATACAGTATCCCAGTAATATAAAATGTCATCTCCAGTATTTATGAAAATCATCACAGAAGGACCCCGAATCTTTCCAGCAAACTCCGGACCGTTCGGAACAATGGTTTTGATCCAAGCGACTTCATGCCTCAGCTGTCGCTGCTGGCTCCACCAGTCAGGATTCAACGGTTGGGCCACATGGGAATCTCGTGAAACTGATAAGCAGTATATGTTTAAGGTAACCGTGTAACCCCCAAAAAAGGAACCAGGAACGTTGCATAGTAGCATCATTTGAGTAGGAGTCTACATTTCGACCTTTTTTTCGGGTGGTTTGTTTCTGATCCAATCCCCCAAGCTGGGCAGAACGCTTACCCCCTGGTTATAAGAATTAGATAGCTGTGGAAATAACATTGTCCATTTCTAGATGATGAGTAACTGGTTGGTGGTTGAGCCACCCGAAAAATCATGGAGTTCGTCAGTTGGGGCTTACTATTCCCAACTGTTCATGGAAAGTCATTCAAAATTCCATGGTTGTTCCAGTCACCACCAAGCAGTAGTCATTTTTTTTCCTAGGAAAACATTCGTGATTTACCCTCTGGTTATTTGTTACATAGCCATGGTATTTTCCATGGCCCTAATCGAAATAGATGGTTTCACCGTTCTTAAAAAATGTGGATCTTTCCATGGCAAACTGTTAGTCAGTCATAACCAGATGCAAACCAGTTAAACGTTGATTCTTCGCAACGGATCTTCCGGAGCTTTCCAGGTTTCTTGGATCCCCTAAGGTACCGCTGTCAACGGTTTACTAAGTCAGGCGACCGTTGAGGACTGGCAAAGGACAACTCTCCGGAGAATTTACGTAGATCGCCTCTGGTAAAATCTGGAAAATCACCATTTTTAATAGGTAAAATGGTGATTATTATACTGTTAATATATGGTTAATATATGGTTAATGATAAATATATGGTGATTAATTACTTACTATTGATAATAATACATGGTGATTATATGGTTATACTGTTAATATACTGTTAAAAAAAGGCTGTTAATAATGGTTAATATTAATGGTGATTATATGGTTAATGATGATTAATAATAATCTGGTTGGTGGTTGACCTACCCCGCTGAAAAATGATGGAGTTCGTCAGTTGGGAATGATACATCTATTAATGGTGATTTATGAATGACCATCATAAAACATCTATACATGGGCCATTCATCACCATTTTTTATATAGGTAACTCATCATAAATCATCTATCATCATGTAGTTTACATGTAAATCTGGTTGGTGGTTTCAACTCCTCTGAAAAATATGAGTTCGTCAGTTGGTATTCTGACATTCCCAATATATCAATATATGGAAAGTTATAAAATTCCATGGTTCCAGTCACCACCAACCAGTCATAGGGATTTTCCCATGGAGTTTCCCCTTTTTTAGCCTCCATTAGGGCCATTGAACCTTCATCAAATGGGACATTTTCTGATCAGCTAAGGCAGTCGATCCCTGGGTGCAGATCGACACGGGAAACCCCGTATCGCTGATTCGACGACTGGTCCGAGCTGCAAAGTTCTGCTGCTGGATATCTACATCTCCCTGACACGGCACCGGTAACGGCTGTTGGCTGTTCTTTGGTGGCGATTCACCACGTAACACGGGTCGGCATGATTTCATGGTGTTTCTCATCCTAATTGATGTTTCTTTTAATAAGGAAAATGAGGATTTATCCTCTGGTAAACTGTCATACCTATGGAAAATCACAATTTTTAATGGGTAAATTCACTATAAATGGGCAATTTTCAATAGCTTTGTTAGTTTACCGGAGGGTAACGATCACATTTTGGGGGTATCCAATTTTCAACCAAACTCAAGCGATACCTGGAAACTCCCCAAGATGATATGAATGTCGATCCCAATCCTCGGGAATGATTTGTCATCAATGCAATTATATATGCAATGGATTGAAGGTAAAATCTACTGTACAATACTGTACATATTGTGGTTTACATGTAAATCTGGTTGGTGCTTGACCTACCCCTCTGAAAAATCATGGAGTGAAAGTCAGTTGGGATGATGACATTCCCAATTAATATGGAAAGTCATAAAATTCCATGGTTCCAAACCACCAAGCAGATAACTTTATGTAACTAATTATAGATGATTTTCCCATTAAAACCTCCATTTGTAAGGGATTTTCCATGGCCATGTTCCAAACCACCAACCAGAAATAGTTTTTTTGAAATACATGGGTACAAATCGATGCAATGCCACGATGCTATCATGATTTACCATCGAAAAATCTCGGGGTTTTACGCTTTGGGAGTCCCCCTCAAAAAATCATCCTATTAAATTCCCCATGTCTGGTGGATGAATGGAAACTTTTGCTTCATCGACGCAGCAAATTCAGAATAGTAGGTATGTTTCATAATATCCAACACTTCTGGGTAAAACTGGCTGCCGTTTGCACAATCTCCCAGTCATCACCATTTTTATAGGTGGGATATATAAGCCATTCCCAGTCATGAGTGGTTTATGACATTGTTTTAGCCACATTATATGGAATTCATCAACCAGAATGATGGTATTTCATTGATTTAAGAGTCTATAATTGGAGGTTTTAATTGGAGGTTTCTTAAGTCATCAATAGGATCCCCAGTCGTCACCATGGGTATGTGACATTGTTTTACCCACATTAATCACCCAAGTCATTCGGTTTCTGGGTTGATTCGTCTGCATTCCCACTTGGTGATATGCTCTACCCTCCGGTAAACTAATAAAGCTATTGAAAATTGCCATTTTTAGTGGATTTACCAATAGAAAATTGTGATTTTCCATAGTTATGTTAGTTTACCAGAGGGTACCAAGTCGTGCCATTTCCACCGTTTTTTTTTGTCAACATTGGATCGCAATCCCACAAGAACTGGGTAAATGATGACAATCACCTGAAAAGTTGGGCTACATTAGGATACCCTCTGGTTATGTCAAAATAAGTATTGAAAATGGCCCTAATCGAAATAGTTGATTTACCGAACTGAATTTGAGTGTGATTTTCCAGTTCGCTATGTTAAATTACCAAAGGATAATTCCCATATACATTCACCATCCTTCCAGTGAGGGAGAACATCACTACATTCACCAGGTGCCCCACTGGTGAAGCATCATTTTTCGATCAAAAAATGTCCATATCTTGGCGGCTTTCTCTACCACAGAAAAACACCGCCACCAAATAAAACATGATGGTTGCATATCCTCTTAGATCGATTTATTACCATAAAAATATCCATATCGATTTAGTACAGGATAATTAGTGCTCCCCAGTGATGTGAATGTTGGTTTATAAAGCCCTATTAATACTAGTTCGTCATATCTACCATAAACCATAGAATTCAGCCACAACCATATCTCAACTTAGCTATCTTGGGGGCAGTGCCTTCCAGATCAAAAAGTTCATCCTTCATCTGCAAACAGTCCTGGTGGGCTCAAAGGGAAACTGTAGCAGGATTGACTATCCATCATGGGGGATATCATATGGGATGTAAATTTGGATTGCAAGAATTAGGACATACATTGAGATAAAATATACCATTATTAATTTTTTGGGGGGATCAACCAATCATTTAGCGGGGGGATGCAATTGGGATTGCAAAATGATGGTTATTTAATGTTATTAAGCCAAAACATCTCAACTATAGGATCATAATTTTCAACCATGGGATTTTCCTTGCTACTGGGTGGTGTCCCATAGTTAGAAAAGTTAAAGTAGTTTATAATTTATAACTCCAACAATTAGGGCCCTAATCGGGGATTATATCTATAGATGCTGGGAACCACCCTGTAGCTATCCATAATGGGGAACTTGTGGAAAACGATCCTCGAACCATCCTGGGAAACACCCAGTTTGGGCTGTTTGGGGTGATGTTCCCTGAAGATAATGAAACAAGGGCTGGGTGAGGTGATCATATCAGATTGGGATTTGGGGACATCGCAACATTATGGGATACCCGACCTGGTAAACTAACACAACAAACTATGGAAAGATCCACCATTTGATAGCTGGGTAAATCCACTATTTCGACTTGGCCATTTTCAAGAGCTTTTTGTAACAGTCATTACCAGAGGGTAATCAAAATAGTAAATTTATAGATGGTTTACCGTTCTCAATTTCATGGTGGATCTTTCCATGGCAAACTGTGAATGTCATAACCAGATGGTAAATCTATGATAATCATTCATAATTATTCATATCATATGGGGATTTCCATCAATATGGTACCCAATATGGAAACTCTAAGGATCTCACAAACCTCGGAAGTTATGAGAATTTACAATGGGGATAAAAGTCACCAAGTTACCAATGTAATGGGCTATATATATATATAACCAAGAATATAGCCAAACAACAGGCGCTATTTAATCGCTATTTTTTGTATATTTGGGATATATATATATATGAATGACTAAATAAATATATATATATATATACATAAACAAACAAATAGACGAATCAAAAGTGAATATGTAACAAACAACATATACAATTCTATATAGAGATACATTGTAAATCTCTAAAATGGTGGATTGGACTGACAAAAAATCGTTGTAATACCAACCATGATATATATAATTATATATACACTGATGGGGAAAACTGACCAGTCTGGATTTGTCCAAAAACATCCTGAAACAAGTTTTTTCGGGGATGGGATGATCACATGATACATAGGATGGTTACTACCCGGCCTGGTAAACAGCCACATAACGAACTGGAAAGATCCACCATGTTTAATGGGAAAACTCACTATTTCGACTGGGCCATTTTCAATAGCTATGTTAAATTACCAGAGGGTAACTAACAAAACGATGTGTGCCTCCCACGTCGTAAATCCACGTCCTTCGCGCGATCCTGCGCAGACGCTCCAGAGGGGCGTCTCCATGTTGGGTAGCTTGGCAGCGATGAAATTACCATACTGGGGGAATACACATCCAGCATCATCCAGCTGTTTTAGGTTCCGGGTCCCGTTCGGTTTTGACTCATAGCCTCATAGCCATAGACTCTATAATAACCTATACCATCTGGTTATTTAACATAGCCATGGAAATCACCATTTTCAATAGGTACACCATCTATAAATGGGCCATCTATACC